TATATATATATATATATATATATATATATATATATATATATATATATATATATATATATATATATATTACTGTTGTTTTAAGTAAATAAATTACATAAGTAAATTATGTGTCAAATATTAATATAAATAATATTAATAGCATTAATAACATTAATAGTAAGCATATTTTACCGTAATTAGAAGTTTAGCAATGTCCGTCTCATCATTGTGTTTTTGAAATTATAATAAATGTGTTACAATACAAAGTATATTATTACTACCATTATTTTTAGGTGGATAGATAAAAAAAATCTGGATGAATTAGTTAGACCATGGTACTGTAAAGCACTATCTTTTCCATTTAATTTCTATTATCCAGGAAAGTTTGAGCGACAAGCGCATTCTTTGATGGAAAGTTTATACCCTTTGGAAGATAATATAAATGATATCGAAAATAAGGTATGCATAACATGCGGAATTTAATTTAGAGCTCATTAAACACATAGAAATGTTTATATAAGAAAATATTTAAAAATTAATTAAAAATTAATTAAAAATTCTGACAACTTTAAAAATTCTTCTAACAACAGGTGTATTCTGAAGCACAAAAGTGTCTGACGTTGTTATCTACAAGGCTTGGAGATAGTGATTTCTTTTCCGGGCAGGAACCTAACACTATAGACGCGATTATATATTCATATTTGGCACCGTTGCTTAAGATTCCATTACCAAATTCAGTCTTGCAAAATCACTTGAAAAATTGTACAAATCTGGCGAAGTATGTGTCGCGTATATCGCAGAGGTACTTTGGGGATGTGTATCAGACTTACGAGAAGCATAAAGCGGAGAAAAACGCTGAAAAATTAAAAACAGATTCGGAGAGTGAATTCCCAAACAAGAGAAGAAATCAGATCTTTGCTGCGTTTGTTGCTACACTGGCGATGGCGGGATATGCGTTATCTATGGGTATTGTAGAGGTGAGTTCTGTTCATACTGAAAAATATATGACAAAAAAGTATATTATACTATATTTTTATAATGTTAGATTTCTTATTTAATGTCCAGACTAAGAAATGGAAAATAGGAGTCAGAGACGAAGAATTATTCTTGTAGATATAATATTTTGTTGCATATTAAATTAGTTTTTCTAGTTTCACATATTTGTTGGAACACTTCTAACATGTGAAATATCTTTATCGCAATTGATATCTGTAGCGATGGTCTATCACAAGGCTTTTTTATGTTTTGTACATGAATAGATCTCCCTAAGCATAAAACAGTACAAATGTTAATGTTAAAGATACAGGTAGCTTTATTTGTAGGTACTAATATATTTATTAAGAAGCAGAAAATTTATTAAGGTTCCTAAGAAGAAAAGAAAACGTGAGTATTAGCTGCACGTTGAAAATAATTAAAATTAGTTTTTACAGTGATATTATTTTCGCTTCTTATCGTTTTCACAAGATTATTGAAAGAGTTAATGTATTTATAATCACACTCACTCATAAATAGCTTATTTCTATTTAGCTTGCGAATTTAAAAATGGAGAAGTCTCTATGTAAGTAATAATCTATGGATGTGATACTAATTTAGAGATAGAATATCTGCAAAGTGTTCAGAATTCATATAAAATTTGTTATTTACATGCTTAATAAGAAATTAAATTGTTATTTGTGTTATTTATCATTAAATATGTTACACATACAATCAATGCACTTACATTCAGTGGTCAAATTTTTAGTAATATTTAAGATAAATTTAAGGTAAATTTAATTGTTTTGTTCTTATATAATTAATCGTATGGTTATATTTCTTTACACATTTGCAAAGAAAAATAAGTCACGTTTTATAAAGTGTCACACACACAATGTAAACAAAAGTTGAAGATAATAATACAATTAAAAAACAATTCCTTGATAAAAACACCTAAAAATCGATAATTATTTAGAAACAAGTATAGCACGATTAGGAATGTTAAGTTTTAAAAGTGAAAATAGATAATAAAATCTTATTTTTTATGTAGTTTTAAAACGACTTTATTTTAACAGAATCTTAATTGTAGGGCTTAGTTGCTAAAATAATTAATTTAGAAAGTTAATAAATTGCTATAAAACATAACATCTTATACTATGAAAAGAATGCATAAATCACAGAATCTATTTAACAGCCAGTTATATAATCTTTCTGTTTTGCTGTTATTTTGCAACATTTAGTGATAATAAAAATAATATATGTTTGTTAAAGGTACCAATAAAGGATGATGAAATCTCTGATGTGCCGACAAAGTACATGTTACTGGATGATGAGGATGAAGAGTAGCAATTAGCAAAAAGAAAACTATGTGTTCGTGGTAAAAATAGGGAATATGCAATTATTAGTTGCAAATTATCTGTAAAATTCTCAGTATGGAACTATATTCGTGACACAGAGAAAGATAAAGAGAGAGGGAGGGGGGGAGGGAGAAAGACGAAAGGATGTTATATGATGTATAAATACCAAAATATATAACAAAGTAAATAAATATTTTGCAATATCACGATAGCAATGTTAATTTTTTCCGATTTTATATCGCATTAAAATACCACTAGTGGCATGATGTACTTCTTCCGCAAAACTTTTAAAATTATGAACGGTGGTGCCGCCCAGAATAATCTTTATGCCTGGATTTTGTTTGTTCAAATTATACACCGCCAAACTTTCCTCGTACGTTGTTCCTCCGATCATAAATACAATTATGTCCTGAGGTCTAAAAAATTAGAAGGTGTTACATATTAATCTACATTTTAATACGATACTTCTGTGCCATGTATAAATAATTTACCTTCGTGACATTATCATGTTACCAAGATAGGGAAATGCCTGTGTGCTCAATTTGCCCTTTATTAAGTCTTCTAGTGTTTCATTTATCAAAGGACAATGCTGCGTGTATATATTGTCTACTCCACTTAATCCTTTGAATAATTTTTTGGTTATTTTGGCAACTGCTTCTCGATCGAATAAATTACTCTGCCTTGCGTTAACACCGCTATATTCTAATATATTATATACAAGCTGAAAAATTAAGTTCTGTTATTATATCTATGGATTTGTGAAGGAATAAACGTCAATTTTGTAACGAGAAAAATACCTTGATATATTTGTCTGAAACATTTCTCTTCTTAAGTAATTCTATTAAACCATTTATGTCGTTGTTCGCGTGCTTTTCATAATGCAACGCGTAGAGCATGACAAGACGAACGGTATCGATGTCTCGTACTTTTTGATTATTGATAAGTGCTTTTATCTTTTGCAACTATGAACAAAGTAATAATTAATATTAAGAATATATAAATGCACATCATATGTGGATATTAATTACCTGGGAAGAATGATCAGTTTGACAACTCAGTTCTTGCTCCATTTCTGATATCTCTAACAAATTATACTTTTCGACAAGAGACGAAAGCTCTCCGACTACAGTGACATGTTTCGACACAGTACCAGAAAGTTTCTTGAATAGCGGATACGTTTCTACAAAGTGTTTCATGTCGGCTATGCTCTCAACTTTTTGATGTTTCTTTGCCTTTTTTTGAAATTCCTCCATCAATTCTTTTATTGTTTGTCCAATTTCTCCAAAGTTTAGATACAAGTTCTATAAATAGTTCAAGATTAATGTCCTTTGAATATAAAAAAAAGCCTTTCACAAAGAATAAAGTTAATAATGTATATACATGTACAAATATAAAATAAAATAATTGTATAAAATATATGTCAAAATAATTAAATATACAATCCCGTGTGTATAAAAATATTATTTTTATGAAATTATATCATTACTACTAATGATTTTAATATAAATGTATGTTCAATAAATTATATAAAGAATTTTCTTACATTGGCATAAAAGTCATCATGTTCTGCACTAAGTACAACTTCTTTCAGCTCTTTCGAAATGCCTTTCACATGAGCTAAATTCACACGATTGTTATTGATCGTCAGCAATTCATGTACCATTGCTTGATATGTCCATTGATTTAACAAAGGTGTGACAGGATCATCCCTTCTATCAACTATTAGGAGGATAGGATTGGATTCCTGCCTGAATTCAAAGGAATTCGATTCTTTACTGAGCACTTCCCTTATCTTTTCTGCTAATCTCTTTGCCATGTCAGAACTATTTTGGTATCTAATATATGGACATTTCTTCAGCGATAATAAGACAGAGGTTATTCCTTGGACAGTTCTATGTAAGTGCACTGGATCCCATGTCAGTCCTTTGGACATAAGAATGATATAATCAAATAGTTTTCATCTATCAACTTGTCACAAATCTATATAGAACTGTATACAATTAACTTACCTTCAGAGCAGGCATTTATCCCGAGTGAAAATAAATGTGGATTAATCGCCAAGTAATCAGCATAATACTCATGTACTTCTCTAACCACCTCTCGTTCGTCACTTTCTGCTAAAAGCTTTATATCTGCTTTTGCAATAATATTACTGAAATCTTTTACAAATAAGTGTTATATAAACAATTACCCCTTATTATTCTACTTTATATACAGACTATCTATTCTTCAGTTTTCTGCAGATCTATTAAAAATGTAGTTTTGCATTGGTATGCATTAGTACTTACAAATGTAATATATTCCATATTTTGGATATCTAAGTTCTTTACAAAGCAAATCAATATTTTCCTTGGTTGGCCTTACGAATACTATACAGGTCAAGTGTTTTAAAGTATCATTATGTACAGCAGTATCTATTCGCTCAAATAAATACACTTCTTTCATCAGTATCTCAGATTGACTATAAAGTAAGCTTACTATACTTGTCTGGAAATAACAAAACGAGTGTGTGTTATCTGAATTTATATAATTTACATTAATATATAATATTTTATTCCTACCGTTTGTTTGTCCATTAGCAGAACTTTCATACCAGGACCACTGTCTTCTGTCATTTTTGTGATATAAAATTTCAAAGCGGTGACGACATTCATTTTGAAGTTAGATAGTGTATCGGCTTATGCTATTCTGTTGTATACATATGTTATGCCTAATTCATATCTTATCAAACATGTACTAATCTTTAATACTTCAGCTATTGGTAAGAAGGGATTATCAAACATGTATTTATTTGGCTGCAGAGATAGTTATCTAACTATATATATGTATATATATTAAACAATATTTTTCAACACACTTTGATCAAATTTTTACACCAAAGATAGAGAATTTCTAATTTGAGGTTATACAGGAGCGACAGAGTGTAAAACGACAGTAGAGACCTCGTATGAGAAACGCGTAAAACTCTAGATTCAAAGTCTACAAAGAAGTACAATGTCGATAAAGAAATTCTCTGCATATGTTGTTGCATGCTGTACTATAATTCGTAAAGGCAACTTGATACAATTTTTGTGGAGAAATTGAATTTAATAAATATCGCGCGCATAAATTAAAGACAAACTAAGATAGAGAATCAATAAAAGACATCAAACAAAATGTCACAAAAGTGACATCGATCTTTTTCATACTCAAGCAATAAGTAATCGAGCAATTTTGAAACTCGCAAATTTTCAAATAGATTATGAAAAAAAAGTAAAAAAAAACACTATGATATCATTGACGACTTTAAAATCACCAGAATCTATGAATTAATACTTATCAGTTATATAAATACGCTTTAAATTTTAATTGTACACAAATAAATTAAAAATGAGATTGACAATTTAAGAATTAATAACAATTTATATTAACAAAAAACATAGAAGATAGCGGAGGAATTTTATTGATAGCATATAACTTTCGTAGATTTATGTACTTTTACATATTTAAGAAATGATGTTTTTATTTCAAACAGCATAAAGCTGTTACAAAACCTTACAAAAATTAACAAAAGAAATATATTATTGCAATTCATTAGAAGTATTAACAAGTATACAAAATCTTAAAGAAGAAACACGAAAAACAAATATTCTCCTATAGGAAAAATTTTAAAGCCAAAGCAGTTTTGAGAATCGAAATTCGCAAATTTATAATTTGCAAAAATATCAATTTATTGTATTATTTAATTATTTGTCTTCGTCAATTTATTTTTCTTTCAAAGAAAAACAATTACGTAATACGTAAATTGATCCTTTCGCAATCAATATAAAATCATAGATTTATTTTTCAAAATCGCTTCGGCTTTAAGCTTAAGAATTTAGTGGTCGCAGGCGATCGTATCATTGAGATGCTACTCTCAAAAGCATTGTGTAATTATTCGCGCACAATAGCTGGAAAGGAGTAGCTTTTAGTGCGATTAGAACGATTAGAGCTGAAAAGAATTACTATTGATCTTTTATACATGCAAACTGCATAATGAATTGCAATACAACAGATTTCTTCTGTTACATAAAATTAAGGACAATCAAGTTACATCGGTCTACCCATGCCGCGTCCCATCGCCGGTGCTCTTGGGGCGTCTTGAGTGCTCTTGGGGTTCTTGATAGTCTCATCGACGGAAAGTATGAGACAGGCGGCTTCCGTGGCGGCCGTCAACGCGTTGATCTTCACTATCGCCGGTTCCCAGACGCAACACTGCATGTTGTCCGCGATATCCTCGGTATTGATATCGACACCGTACCATTGCAAGCCTTTGTGGTGCTTCTGCCGCAATTTGTTGAGGATATTTGTCGCGTCGAATCCGGCGTTATCGCAAAGTTGCCTGTAAAATCAATAATCATCACTAATTGCCATTAATATTCATGTATATATAATTAAACGTGCGTTAAAGTGTACCTTGGGATGATCTCGAGGGCTCTCGCTATCGCTCCAATCAAAAGCTGCTCCTTCCCAGCTATTGTACGCGAATGATCACGCAAAGTTTTCGACAGTTCCATCTCGATGGCGCCGCCGCCGGCGACTACCGCGTCGTTCTTCACCATACGCCTGACTACCATAATCGCGTCGTGAAGAGACCGCTCGGTTTCTTCCAAGAACTGCTCCGCGCCACCGCGCAGAATAAACGTGCACGTTTTCGCTCGGGAACATTCATAGAAAAAGTTGAACCTGATAACAGATTCGGAATGCAAAGATTACACCATTGCTACATTGGATATTTATAATTGAAATTATTTTGAGAACTGCCTCGGGCAATCCTTGGATTTATTTTATCTGCGGAAGAAAAATCAATTTGTGTATTATTCAATTACCTTTCACCCCCTATTTGTTTCTCCTCAAAATCTTGACATCTTCCAAGATCGGAATCTTTGATGTCGTGCACAGTCGTTAAAATAGCTCCGCCGCACGCCTTCATCGTTCTTTTAAGATCCTCTTCCTGCACCCTACCGGCGCAGAACATGTCTCTGTCAGCAAAATACTGCGTCGCAACGTCGCCAATCGGCAGCATGGACAGCACCACTTTCGCGTCGCTCTTGTGAATCTGATCGAGCTTGTCGTAGAGGATCTGCCATTCCGCGTCGACGATTCGCTGGTATTCCGCCACATTGTCCACCCGCACCTCCGCATTATCCCGTTCGGCTTTCAATTCCAGCTCGATGTTTAACAACGCGATCTTGCACTGATGATACTTCTTCGGTTGCATCTCGAATCCGGCATAAGAGAAGGTCTTTTTAAAGGCCACTCCTTGAATGAGTTCGGAATCTTCCAGAGCACCTCCAGATACCTAAATGTCATATTTACATTGTGTATTATTCGCATATAAAATATTAAAATTTTCTATAAATCACATTTTTATCGTCTAATTACATACTTTCTTAATACCAATCATGTTGAGAGGAAGCAAATCATCTAACATCATGACAGCTTTGACGACTAGTTGACTGAAATGTTTCTTCTGTTGATGTATCAATTTGGAGCTCATTGATGTAGCTGCGCATTCTTCAAGAAGCTCAATTTGCTTGCTCATGTCAGTTTTGTCTATCTTGACGCTTAGTTCATTGATTTTGTCTACGGCTATCTGAAGTCCACGACGAAGAGCTTTAATAATTATACGAGAGTGCACACCTTCTTCGATAAAGGGTTTTATCTGTTTCAAAAACTCTCCGGCTAACAGAACCACACTGGTTGTGCCATCTCCAACCTATTAAACAGAAGAATAATTATTACTCCTACGTTTCTTTTCGCTGCATATTATTTTATCAACATTCCGAGTAGTAAAGTGTTTGAACACTGTTTGAAACAATAACATATCTTGGAGACATTGTCAGTCTACAGGTTCTGAATTTTGTATCCTCTGAATTTTCATATACAATAATGTTGTCTTTCTTGCATTATTGTTTCAGCCAACATTTTGGAAAAAATGCACTGGCCTAAATTCTTTTCAGAGACCAAAGCAGGATTGAGACAACTAATATAATAACTTACCTCTGCATCCTGTGACTTAGCGATGTCTACTAAGGTTTTTGCGGCTGGATGAATAATATCCAACAGTTTCAAAATGGTAGCGCCATCATTGGAGATCGTACTCTTCCCATTTTGATCAACTATAAGTTTGTCCATACCGCGTGGACCCAAAGTGGTCCGAACAGCGTCCACCACAATCTGGCATGCATTTATATTGGATATCACTTGTGGCTTTCCCTGGGACGCATCCGTGCCTTCTTTCAACAAGATAATCTGTGGTTGCTGCGCACAACAAACAGAAAAAAACATTATAATTTTATTTTAAAAATTATCTAACATTAAATAAACACGCAAAGGAATACCGTCGCGTATTTCCCCATTTCTGATGCTTGCAATCCTTCTTACACAAATCAAATACTTGATCGCGGTTACAAAACCGAAATGAAGCGAGAGGACGAAAAACAAACGAAGGTCGAAACAGTTGGAAATTCACATTGCAAAAATCAACATCAGTCGAACTGAAAACGTTGCGCAGACGCTGGGTGTGTATACACACGCGAAATAATCTCCTTATAAGGTTATAAGATTCAGTCAGAGCGGAAGCTTTGACGACTTGTGGAAGTGTGAGTATAAAATTGAATCGTTTGTCGCTTCATTGCAATACATTTTTCATCGCAAATATGTATAATGAAGTAAAAGTAAAAGTGAAGTAAAATAAAGCTCGAGGCATCGCAATAGAATGCCACTTTATTGAGGTTAGTGTGTATATAGTGTTAACGATTTATTGATAATCAGCAGGTTCACTTTTTTATTTTTTTTTTTTTTGTCATAAAAGCTTACCATTGTGGAGTTTTTAGTGTGGAGCTTATTTTACCACGTGTTTTTGAGAATTCTCGATGTTTCTTTGAATGCTTCGCACGACGAAAGGCACCGACAGAAGTAACGAGCATAGAGTGGGTGTTGTCAAGAGGTCTGTTCTTTATAGATGAACTGGCTGCACTAGTTCAGAGTTTATCTTTTTCCCTCCACATTGGAAGAAGAAAGATAAACTCTGAACTAGTGCAGCCAGTTCAGCTATAAAAAGGTCTGTTCTTTATAGCTGAACTGGCTGTACTAGTTCAGAGTTTATCTTTTTCCCTCCACATTGGAAGCTATAAAAAACC